TTTTTTTTCTTTCAGGTAAAAATGGAATTTGCGAAAGTACAATAATTGAAGTATTAAAGTCCTAAGGGCAAAAGATAATAACATGACTGTATTTATGTATTTATGTATTTATTTATTTATTTATCAAATTAACTTCATTAGGGACTTCTTGCATCATATGACCACTTGTACGTTCGCTGTATCAGCCTCCTCCACATTCCGCACTGTCACGGTGATGAGAAGGCTACAACATTGAAGTAAAGTAAACAATGTATTTAAAGTCAAGTTGTTCCCGCATCCGATCCGGACATTGGGGATTGCCTTGTTAGTGAGGCAACTTCCTGGGTCTTCGGCATATTGTGGTAGGGTGGCCAGTTCCTTTCCACGCCGCCTTTACTTCCCCAACTCGAAGTCAGGTACCCATTACTGCTGGGTGGGCAGGAGGGGGCGAAATAAATCCGTGTCGGAACCGAGGCTCGAACCCGGACTTTCCGCTTCGGAAACAAGCGCACTAACCGCTCCGCCACCGCACCCTCAACATTGAAGAAAACAACAAAAACAAAACAAAATACAAAAAAACAAACACACAAAAAATAACCTACACTCAACCAAAGACCCCCAAAACACGAGTCAGGGTTTGGTGAAAGAATGTCGACAGTGGCTCGTCAACGCTACCAGCTTTTGTGTGGCCTTTATCAACAAGGTATCTGTTATGATAAGAAAAGGTAGAGGGCAACAGAGGAAGAGGGTGGGGTAGGGGGGAGGGGGGGGGGTAGGGGCTAACACAAGATGGGAACCAGATACAGGAAATCTGGCAAGGCACAGACACAACACGGGTGGACAGAATGGCGAGAGGTGGAGGGTTTTGTCGTGGGAAGGTCCAAGATGCAGCTTCCTACTAGTAGGAGTAGCAACTCCAGAAGCTAAAAAGAAAAAGATGAAGAAGATCTGGCGCGTGTTTTGTTTCGAAAACTGTTTAAAGAAAACAAATAAAAAAGGTAACTGGGCAGCCAAAATCTTATGTATCCCCCTCTCTCTCTCTCTCTCTCTCTCTCTCTCTCTCTCTCTCTCTCTCTCTCTCCCCCCCTC